TGCTGGTTCCCGAGCTCATTCAAGTTTATCCCGCCCTACTATAAGTCAAATTTAATCAAAATCTGACCAAACTTCAAATTGTTATAGACACATAGCCTACATAATATCATAGATAAAACATACTCCCTTAGTAGATTTCTCATCCTAATGGAACAGCTGAAGACAATTTTATTGTTAGTTCTGTACGGTTTATGTAGAGGTCGTGTTTTGTTTACAACACACAACGGGTGTTTTGTGTCCCGTTAATACAGTCATTTAAAACCTCGTTTAACCAAATAATACGATCTAATCATAAACAATAAATTGTCCCCTAGTTATTTAACCAAACAGTAAAGCACAAATCGAGAAATTAACCCTAAAATAATAGAAACAACATTTCGTCGACACTAGCGCCCAGTGTGGCGTACATGAACTAGCCATGAAAAACGAGCTTCAAAATTTACAATGGGATGAGAAGTCTACTTGTGTTGGTTAGTCTATGATAATATAAATAAAATTGAATGAATAGTGGTTTTGGCCTCTGGGGACATCAAAGTGAATAATTAAACAGGTACCGGATCTAGGCCTTACCTTACTATTACTTTTATGGTAATAGCTACTTCTCTATAGGGAAATTCGCTAAAACAATCTTTATTTTTTACCTGTAGCAGCAAAATTAAGGAGGCCTACTGATTAAACCTAATGTTATTTAATTGGGGAAAAGATCTGACTTTTTAAGGAAATATTTTAGTATTGAATCAGATAAATGGAAAATCTCTTAGTCTGCATGATTGCTGTGTTCAGTAGCGTAATAAATTTTTACGGGCCCCCCTGCAAACTTATAATTTAGGGCCCCCTCTCATGAGTTATTGTTAGACGACCGATACAACATAATCAAACACCCTCCCCCTCCCCTGAGTGTTATTTTTGGACCACCGATACAATGATTTAACAGATTAATCATAAATACCCCCACTGCAGCAAACCTGCAGACTAAGCGAATTTCCATTTGCCTGATTGGATTTACACTAAAATGTCTATTTAAAAATATAACATTTATTCCCTATTTAAACAGAATTAGTTTTAGCAGAAACAGAAAGTACTTAGGTTTGCTGTAACAGGGAGGGTAGAACTGTATTTTTTTTAAATGTTAATAGTTAGTAAGAAATAAAAACATTTTCCAAATTTAATCAAAATATGTTCATAAACAAGCAAACTACAACAGTTTACTTGTTCTCCATAAGAATAACATGGGAATTTTAAATTTAAATTTTTTTTTTATTTTCTCCGTAACCATTAGGCGCATAGTAACGCTTCAATATAGTCTACTAAATTATTTGTTTATTTAAGCTCTACAAAATGGTTTGGAAAAAATTGCTAAATTTTATGTTTTTTGGGTCAAAAATGGGAAAACTTATTTTTACCCCATAAAACCCCCCTAAACCCCCGTTCCCATAGTCCGTTCATGCTGGTTCGCGAACTCGTTCGAATAAATGTAGGTTTACACGTTTATACCAAATTTCATCAAAATCGGATCATTTTTTGCTCGAGTTATCGTGCTAACGGACACATATATAGATATAAATATATCTTCTATAAGTATAAAAGAGGATGTTAGTATATTTGGCAGTGATAAACTCAGATACCGCTGGACCAATGGCCACGAAACTTGGTACATACGTGTAGAATTTCATGGAATAGGTTTATACACCATCAATTTCGTGATCCGTCCAATCGGCTCCGCCCCAGTGGCTCTGGAGTTTCCCATGTTAACCTTATGAGAAATGGAATTAATGAATCTTAACAGCTGTTTCAATTAAACAAGTTGGTTCTGTTCTATGATGTTCAATAGCATTAAAGTTACAAGGATTACCAATAGGGTGCAGCACTATTATTTCTTTTACATTTATGACAACAGCTAATTTGCAACCAAAAGGTGAGTGAGCGTAGCGAACAAACTTCAACCTGGAGGCGAGTTTGCGTAGTGAACGAGCTAACCTGAAGGCAAGTGAGCGTAGCGAACGAGCTAACCTGAAGGTAAGTGAGCCTAGCGAACGAACTTCAACCAGGACGTGATTGAGCCATGCGAATTTTATCTTTGCATGGATTTCAAGCATCTCATTCATCGAAGTATATAACACAACTGGAATGCTAGGTACGTGTTCACGAAAGCGCGCCGTTGTGGCAGCCTCCCCGCACCAACATGGGGGACCCAGCGGATTTTAGCCAATTCATCGAATAGTGCGCGAAGTTGTTAACTCGCTCCTAGCATTCAGTAACAAAGATTAAGTACAATAATGTTCATATATTCGTAATCTGCATTAAATGCAGAATCTAATGGTATAAATAAATTTTACTTTTGATTTAAAATAGAATTTCCATAGTTAAAAAGAGTTAACAATTTTTACATTGCGACATGAAAAATATAGTATGCGAGGAAGTATTTTATTTTTGGGTCAGAAGAAAACTGTAAGCGACAAAGTTGTAGTTTAAGAAATGATTTTTAACATGTGATCGAGCAATTTACAATTAAGTGTGTAGTTTGTTTGTAGAATAGTGATTAATAGGGCGACGAGGTTGATTTTATGTCGCACCAACCTCCTCAGTCCAGCAACTCTTTATGTTTGTACTACTCGATCATTGTAAAGCTAAATCAATTTTAACCTTTTTTAATAGTTGATATAAGTTAAAGAATACAACTAACTATTCTATGGATGTGATCATATATTTCATTAATTTGCAGAAGATAAATATCAATACCGGTACCGGGCTGCCGCCCATGAATGAAACTGTTAGGGACACTGTTTACAAAACCGTTTGTTTCTCCAATGCTAGAGACATTATGAATGAATGTAACAAAAATAAGTTAGATGTAAGGCAGAGATTGAAGAAATTGGTTTTGTTTCACAACATGTAATGCAACCTTTGTACTATATTTAAGCACGATTGTGGCCAGTAAAACGTATTCTTAAAAGTACTGTTTAGTATTATTAACCAAACCCTAAGCACGATTGTGGCCAGTAAAACGTATTCTTAAAAGTACTGTTTAGTATTATTAACCAAACCCTTTTCTCTTATGTGTGATGATAAGAAATTTAAAACATATACAGAATAACGATGACACTCAAAACACTTTTTACTAATCGTGTGTTTGCAACATTATACAAATACTCATATTGTCAAAGGAACACGACTAACAATTCGATTTGTAAATTATTATTATTATTCAATTTTTGTTATTGAAAAATACTTCCTAGGTTCAATATTTATGACCTTATCAATTATTTGATCTGAGCCTTAATATTTGAAATTTCTCATTAATTACCAAACAAAGCAGATAATACACGATCCCTTGTTACATTTAAACAAAGGGGGATTACCAGTCCCTGTCCCTGTATCTATAGTCTACATTTTATATTTTAATTTACGGTAACATTGTATGTAAATAGTTTACCTAGAAGGTGATAATTCAGTATTTAGTTATGTGTTACCTGTAATAAAAATGAATTTAATATAACTATTGGTTGTACTCAAAACGTTTCTGGGAGTACCGTAAACGAAAAGATCAGCGAAACCAGTGAGAACGGCCCGCGGCGCAATTTATAAATAACCTCTTTGCGTTACTAATTACTCCATTACACACGACTAGAAAATTTTATTTGAAATTGCTTGGTTATATGCTGAAGATTATCTCATTAGCTACAATTTTCTCGCTTGAAGTTTGCTTCTGACCAAAAAATAAAAAAATCCTCGCTTAGTGACTTTTTCATGTCAAGGTGTGATATTATGACTAATAATGGTTAAAAACGTACCTTGTCAGACAATCCTTGACATGTTTTATAGTGTCGAAAATAAACTTGCTACATGTTTCGGTGGTTATTATGATAATAACCATAATTATAATTATAATAACCACCGAAACATGTAGCAAGTTAATTTTCGACACTATAAAACATGTCAAGGATTGTCTGACAAGGTACGTTTTTAACCATTATTAGTCATATTACGCAATCCTGGGGCTATAAAAATGAATTATAAGTGTGGTATTAGTTTAACATTTTTAGTCGTTAAAATTCGAATTACGATTTAAATAAGATGATATTTATACTGTCAGATTCTGCAGTTAATGCAGATTCCGAATATATAACTTTAATTGCAGTCAACCTTTTGGATGCACGGCCAGGAGCGTATTAACAACCGCGTGCACGGCTTGAGGAACTGACATCTCTGCGTTGGGTCCCCCATAGTGGTGGAGGAAGGTTACTGAAACGACGCGCTTTTTATCCCACATCTCCTATCTACCCGGTGTTCCAGTTGTGTTATATACTTCAACGGTCTCATTATGTTGTAAGCGTTTATCTTAACAACAAATTTCTTTAGTATTAAAATAAGATATGGGCTAACAAACACAGTCAGTAGAGTAGCAGTATATTGTATTTAAAATAATACAATCAATATTAGGACAAAACTAATATGTAAAATAACACAATATTAAAAGCCCCAGCCAACGTTCATGACTCCAGGCTCCAAAGTAACAAAATGTTTGCAGACGACATAAGCAGTGTACTCACCGAGAAGTAAAATATTTCTGGGTGACAAAAGTAAGATTGCATAATAATCAAAGACCCACATTATAACTTGTTAAATTTGTTACCCTAGTTCGTTATCACTGAAGAGGCCTAACGAAATTAAACGATAACTGATAACAACATATAATTAATAACATCAATGTTATTACTTGTTCAATACAATTATTGGAATGATTGATAATACATTTAAATAAGAATTAACTCAAATTTTTCGGCCCCACTCGTCTCACAGGCCTCTCTGCTCACCGTTTCCCGCTCTCCGGTTCGCGGGCCCCCTCAGCTCCCGGGCCGCCCCGCATTGCGGGCCCTTCTGTTACGCCACTGGCTATATTGGAGGTATTACAACTCTATGTACCTAACTAGGCACTAGAAAACAAGTACATTGGATGAAATTAAAAAAAGGAAAACTAATCACATTCTTTTGTCTTCTAGGACATCTGCTATTCAGCACCGGCAGAAATACTTGGAACCAATGCAGTAGAAGAACTAGTTGGTTCCCTTCCTATTGTCACTAAACTACTTAACATTCTTAATGTACCGTTAGGTATACTTGGGTAGTGTTTAGGCCTACATAAAAATAAATTCTTGTGTTTTGAAAATAGTTTATACCATGATATTTTTTCCTCAAAATATTCAAAAATTCTACTCTTCCTTGACCTCTATATGCTGGAGACCCATAGTCAAAATGACTGGACAACAAGTAGAAACATTGCTGATGCGGTTATATATACTGTATGTTATTTTTATTTATCTCATGGTCTAATATGGAGGTTCTACTATGTAGGTTTTAAGGAACACAGCTAGATCCCTTTTGTTTTGTAACCTTAAGAAATCATCTGAATCTGCTTCGTGTAATGATTCATTGGTTTCTAAGCCTAACTTGAGGTAGGCTACATTTAGACAGCACTTTTTCTGGTATGGAATTATTTTTATGTATTGAAGACCTGTCCATGAATGAGAGTTGGTTTTCCTTTACATGCAAAAAGTGTGTGTATTCAAAATAAAGGGTAATGTTATTGTTTTTAAGTGTTTAAAACTATCCCTACAGCTTAGAGTACTAATTCAGATTATTGGGCGGAGCAAGCAAATTTCTTTTGGGATCAACTTTAATGCAAACTTTCTTACATTATCACTCAATGACAGTTGAACATATTTTAGCCAAACTTACCCGGTGGGGCACACGAGAGGGACTAAGGCTAACATATCTTGTAGTGTCAGCGTTCGCCGCTAGAACCGCTAAGTTGAAATTTTTTTTTTATTTTTAGTTATAAAATTAACTTTTTAATTATAAAATATTGTTTTAACACATTCGATGCGGCGGGTCCACCGGTGGACCCCGCGCGTCTCAGCTGAGGAGCGGGGGGGTCCACGGGTGGGGGAGCGCGCATTGCATTGTTTGCCGGATCAGTGTGGTTCAGCCATTGTCGGGGAACGTTGTAATCTTTACCAGCCTGTAGCTTATAATGCGAGCTTTATTCTGGTGTAGGTTGGTACAAAAATTGCCCGTAAAATCCCGTCTGGCAATGCTTTTGTCCCGTTTTCAGGGATTTTCTCAGTTCGAGCCGTATTACAAAGACTCTGGTCATTGATCCAGGCAGTGCTGCTACCTTTGGGTGTTTCAGTGAACTACGTCCACTTTCGGAGTAACGCAGAACAATCACCACTGCTCTTTTGTGATTCGTCTTACTGAGATATTTCAATACCAATAGCGATCGCTGATTCAGTTAGCGCGTCGGGGCTCCGCCCGGGCCTCGCCGCCATTGGCGAGCGCCTGTTTAAAGGTTTTCAGCAGCGAATGTGTTAAGATTATAAAATAAATTTTTAATTTTTAAAATAAAACTGTCATAACATAACCTAACCAACCAGACTTGCTGATAATATAAAAACTGTATAAGATAAAAATGTAATTAATGATTACTTATAATTTTTAATTAATTTTAAAATTAATTTTAAAATTTAGTATTATAAAATAAAACTGTCATAACCTAACCTTACCAACCAAACTTGCTGATATGAAAAATTTGTTGACAAAAATTTAGTGCTACCACCGGGATTCGAAACCGGGACCTCCTGATCACCAAATCGAAACGCTACCAACTAAGCCACGAACGCCGCTGAAAACACATCGTTTCGTTACGGTAATCGTGTTGCCTCAAGAGTAGACATTAGCCACTAGAGATATGACGTCACTACACCTTTAGCCTTAGTCCCTCCCGTGTGCCCATTCCAAACTTACCAAGGTTGTTTTGACAAATGATGGGACGGTTTGAAAAGGAACAATTTCAATTTGATAAATTTAAAAGTAGGCTAACTCATTTTTTTTATTTTAAGGAATGGTCTGCGGGTTAGATCGTTTTGTTTCAGTCCCACAAATGTGAGCTAACTACATAATATTGCTAAAAGTTTTTTTTCAAGCAGGCATTTCAAGTAAATTCTGAAAAACTTGCAATGATAAAATTGTGTTGTTTAATCAATTACTTACCATAATATAGTCTATATTATAGGGGTAGGTATAATTTTTTGATACGGTAAAGGTTTATAGGAAAGTAGCCTAACTTTAACCAGACTACGGGGCGGAAACATTATTGGGCCTAGGGGCCCCAAAATGTTTAAACCGGCCATGTTCTCAGATCAATATAGCCTAATCTAAATTGGCTATTTAGAACATGCAGTTTTGAACAGTTCAAGTAAATTTCTCATCCTATTGTGAAATTAAATTCCTATTTATGCGTGTGGAAACGTTTGAGTGTACCAATGTCGACTAAATTAACTAGGCGACTGTAAGTTTTTGATAGCAAAACGATAATATTGATCTTACATAAATGAGTGATAAAAATCAAACAGTTTAAATTAGCTGTTTGAACTAATAAGCATATTGTTAAATTAACTAGTGCCCATGTTGCTCGAAATCGAGCAATTGCAAAGAAATAAAGTAGTTACAGTATTTAAATACACCCGCCGCAGCAAACCTGCAGACTAAGCGAATTTCTACTTCTCTGATTACATTATTACTAAAATATTTCCATGAATAAGACATATTAATTCCCAATTTAAATAACATTAGATTTAACGAGTGCTTAGGTTTGCTGCTACGGGGAAGGTAAAAAGTGTTCTCTGACCATACCTCTTTAGTATAGGATGAAATAAATAAATTTTGCAAAATTTTATCAACATATATCCATAAACAATTAAACTACAACAGTTTTCATTTTCTCTATAAGAATAACATGGGAATTTAAAATTACACTATTTTTGAATTTTCTCCGTGACCGTTAGGCATACAACAGCGCTTCAGTATACTAAATTATTCCTTTTTTAAGCTCTACAAAACGGTTTAAAAAGAATAGGTATATATATATATATATATATATAAATGAATTTGAACGGATGGTGTTTTTGTCCTCTAGGGACCTCAAAATAAAAAATTATATCGGTCACGGGTCCAGGTTTTACCATGAGTACTACGGTAATAGCTTATTCCCTATATAGGAAATTCGCTACGAATAAAATTCATAATTTCCGATGAGTTTAAAAGACTCAACTCATAGATTACGTTCCATATAATCAATATTTTTTGTAAATATTTTATCATTTTTCAAAAGCTGATCTGGTTTTTTAGTGAATTCTACAAATCTTTCTTTCTTATAGCCGCATTAGGTTGTCCATGTTGATCTTTGTCATTAATGATAGGCCTAACGTAGTCTGCATAATACTACCCGTTGTCGCCAGTACGTTTACAAATTTCAGTCATTTTTTATAGCGATAACATTTTGTTTACATAGCTTAAGAACTGCCTGATTTAACCCCTCTGTGACAATTTTATTTGCTTCAATTGGCATTAATTTGGCTAGTTACTGTTATAACGTATAAGTTATATTTAGGCCTACCTGAAAAAAGTGCAGATTTGAAAGGCCTAATGTTGTTCAGATGGTTTTTTGTTTCCCTTAAATGTGAATAATGAAAATCCTTCAGTGAAAGTTTTATTAAGGTTTCTTGGATGTAGTAGGCCTACTGTAATCTTATATATTAAAAAATTTGGTTTTTCTTTTCTGAGTTCGTTTGGCTCTTCTACCCAACCGATTTTCATGATTGAGGTCTCAAATTTAAGGTATGCACGCACAGATTTGCCAAGCATCGGCATATAATTATACGGAAAGTAAATGAAGATACGTCTTATAACACTTAAAACATTACGCTTATACTGTTACGCTTATACCTGAGGCCTTGGACAGGTCTCAGGCCACAGCAGGTGTTTTCTGTGAGCTGTCTAAGGCTTTTGATTGTGTGGATCACTCACTCCTGTTGCTGAAACTTTATGATTATGTGATTGGGGGAAGTTGCTTTTCTTTAATACAATCTTACCTTTCTGAAAGAAAACAAAGAACTTTAATTTTAGAAGATAACAACAAACATTATTCACCATGGGAAATTATATCCACAGGTGTTCCCCAAGGCTCAGTATTGGGCCCACTTTTTTTAAATTTACATTAATGATCTTCCAAAAGCTATTAATAAATAACTAATTCTTTTTGCCGATGACACTACTGCTTTGATCAAAAACAATAATACAACTGAAATGTTTTCTTCTCTGCAAAGTGTGTTAAAGGTCATGGAGCAATGGTTTTTAGAAAATGGGTTAAAACTTAATGCTGAAAAAACAAATACCCCCGCTGCAGCAAACCTGCCGACTAAGCGAATTTCCATTTGTCTGAATTGATTTTCAGTTAAATATATTTTAATAACATTAGGTTTAGCGAGTACCTAGGTTTGCTGCTACAAGGAAACTAATAAAGTGTGTTTTTGAGTAAAATATTGATAGCTTAGTACAAAATAAATAAATTTGACAAGTTTGATCAAAATATATTTATAAACAAGCAAACTACAACATTTGACAATATTCTCCATAAGAATAACATGGGAATTTTAAATTTACAATTTTTTTAATGTTCTCCGTTACTTATAATCGAACAAAAATACTTTTATATACTAAATTGTTTTTTTAAGCTCTTTAAAAAGGTCTAAAGAGAAATTGGGAAATTTTGTGTTTTGAGGGTCAAAAGTGAGAAAAACCAATTTTTACCCCATAAAACCCCCCGTAAAGCCCCTTTCCCATGGTCCGATCGTGCTGGTTCGCGAACTCATTCAAGTTTATCCCGCTTTACACCTTTAAACCAAATTTCATCAAAATCGGACAAAAATTACTCAAGTTATCGCGTTCACGGACGTATATATATATATATAAGTCTATATATATATATACATATATAAAAATTTGAAAGAATAGTGTTTTTGGCCTCTGGGGAAATCAAAATGAAAAAGTAAATCGGTCCCGGGTCTAGGTCTTACCGTGCCACCTACGGTAATAGCTACTTCCCTATAGGGAAATTCGCTAATATTATTAAATTTTCTACTAGACACAAAAATATGGAAAACTGTTCCTTTAATTTAGTTGAAGCTCATAAATTCTTAGGGGTTTACGTAGATGACGCAGTTAAATGGGTATCACATTTGAATTATTTACGTAACAAAATTAGGTCGATATCATCTTTATTCATACATTTAAAGGACTGTGTTTCTGTTGAGACACTTAAAGTAGTTT